TTTTTAAACAATCAAGAAGATGTAAATAACATGCCTAAATCAATAAAAATTTGAATTAAAGCTCAGTTCTTGGGGAAAAAATGTCTTAGAGTTCAAGGAAGAAGCAATAAAAATAACAGTAGACATATTTAGAATGATAACTTTTTTTTACGTCACTTTTGCATTTGCATCCATCATGCTTTAGAAAGTATTTCATATACATTTTCTTAAAATGCTCAAACATATTAAAAGTTTGGTAGCTCAACCCTGAATCTTCAGAAAGTGATCAAGAAATTTCTGATAACATTTCAAATGATCAAGATTTTCTTTTTTAAATTGTACCCAATAATAAATATCAAATATCAGAATATTACAAAAATATAACTTTCATCTGTCAGTTTCAGAGCATCTATGGCATAATAATAATCTGGATTAAAAAGTGAGGCAGTAATCACCTCTGAGCAAAATATGAAAGCCAAGCGTAAGATATATAGTACACTTTTCTGGTCACAGGTGTCGACAAAAGCCAATAAGAAAATACAAAAGTCAGGGACTCCCCTGGTGGTCCAGTGGGTAAGACTCCCGTGTTCCCAATGCAGGGGGCCTGGGTTCGATCCCTGGTTGGGGAACTAGATCCTGCATGCATGCGGCAACTAAGAGTTTGCATGCTGCAACTAAGAGTCCATATGCCACAACGAAAAGTCCTCATGCTGCAACTAAAAGATCCCGCATGCTGCAACTAAAGATCCTGCATGCCACAACTAAGACCCAGAGCAGCCTAAATAAATTAATTAATTTAAAAAAAGCATGGAATCATGGAAATGCCCAAGTTGAAGACGTGAAATAGTTTATAAATTAAATGAACTTTAATAAACCCTAGAGAAACCATATTTTCCAAGTGTTTCTTAACAGGCATTCCTTTTAGGACTGACTCACTGAGCACTGGTGCTAGGAATGTGCCAGTGCACCAGATACCAGGCAACAGTGATACAAAAAGTCATTGCTTCAATGGTGCTGCATAGATGGAATTAAGCTCATTAAACATGAGTTTGAAATATTTTTAGTTTTTACTTATACTTAGCTTTTTTCAGTTCCTCAAAGAAAGAGATCATAACAATTCCTTTTTTATCTTCCTGCGAAATATAGTTTAATCCTCAACAATCCTCCTTTATTACCAAACCTCTAACCTCCATAAGAGCTCAATAAACCTTCCTCTTGTGTGTGGTTTGATATGTTACAATGGCTACCATTTCAATCGTAAGCCTTAATTTAATTAATTACTGCTGAATTACAATTACAGATTTCAGGTGTCCAACCCGAATCCCACCAATTTCTCTTTAAGCAGTCATTTCTTTACCATCTTCCAACCCACCGTAATTTATTATTTACTTTCTGCCTAGAAACTGCTCCTTACCTTTTACTATTTTTACCACAAGCTTTTAATCCATTCCTCTCAACAAATGTCCTTGCTTTTTGCCTTTCAGAGATAAGAGAGCACATTACATACAACACCAACTTTCCAGATTTTCAGCTCCAGAACAGTTTTTCGTGTACTCCTATCCTTCCTTCTTTCCTGAGCCTCAGTGAAAGAAACATGTCTAACTCCCCCCTCAGACAGGCCGTCTGTCTCTTCTGTTTTCCTGCCCTGTCCATGATCTTGCCAAGGCAATGAGCCTTTCCTCCAGTTGTCAGTTTCTTCTTCTCTGTTGGTTCTTTTCACAAGGAACGAAAACCAAACCCCCAAATTTCCTTTGAACCAAACAACCTTCCTTCCTAAGCTATTGCTTTCTCCATTAAACTTCTTGAATAAAACAAACAAACAAAACTGCTCTTTAAGTGTGAGTTACCGTACAATTGCTTTATGTTCATTATGCCATTTAATTAAATCACACTGTAATCCTAAATGGTATTTATTCCCGTTTCACAGATGAAGAAAGTAGAACTGGGTAAACATCTGTGATTCAGCTGAAGTCAACCAGATAGTAGGCTGGTGGAGTTACGATCACACTTACTTTAACCAATGGTTCTCAAGCTGTGGTCTCTAGAGCAGCTGCATCAGCATCTCCTGGAACCTGTTAGAAATGCTAATTCTCAGGTCCCACCCTGATCTACTGTATCAGAAGCTCTGGGTGTGGGACCTACAATCTGTGTTTTAGCAAGCCCTTCATGAGATTCTGATGACACTAAAGTGTGGGGACCAGTGCACTAGACCACAATGCTTTTCTGTTCTCATTCTATTTAACTTCTCTGCTACACTTGACAGAGTTAGGTGTTTTCTTTTGAAGCCTTCTTTTCTACCAGAAACTCCAAACTACTATATCTTGATTCTCTTTCACTAACAATCTCTTTCACTAGCCTTCCTGCTAAAACATTGGTTAGCTTTACCAATGTTTCCCAAATCTCACCAACTCACCAACTTTACTGCATGTTCCCTAGGACCCTCTCTTGATATAATCTCCATGTTGACCAAAGGAGTCAGTGCCCAGCCATTCACCGCAGCCAGCATCTCTAGGTGACATTGCTCTCTTGCCCCCTACATTCCTACATTTAATTGGCTAACCAAATTTCGTCAATATTTATCTCTAGAATATTCTCAAACCGGTCACCTATCTCTATCCCCAGGTGCACTCCCAAACATTATAGGCTGGAATATGATAACAGCCTTCCTGCCTGGAGCTGCTCTTCTTTTCAATACCCTCCTAAACATTTCCAGTTATCCTTCTAAAAAGCAGGTATAAGCATGTCATTCCCATTCAAAATTTAAAAATTAAAAAAAAAAACCTAACAAAATTTAAAAAACTAATCAGAATAAAACAAACAAACCACCCAACTTTTATGGCTTCCTTTTACCTAAAGGCTGAAGTTTAACATCCCATTCTGAGCATGGTAACATGGCGATTAAGCCAACCTAGCCTTCTGTCTCCTCTCCCACCACTAACTGCAAAACCTTTCTTCTTCCCCCAAACCTTTGGTAAATGTAGGCAAGATTAATCACGTTTCTTTTTTGCAGCCTAGGCGAACACTGTATTCTCTGCCTGAAATACCCATCTCTAACTATCTACTCATCACTTATTTAATAAACATTAAATATGACACAAACTCAGGGGCAGATAACATGAACAAATTGAATATATTGAGTATAATGAGGTAACGTGCCCCATATAAAGAGGGCAGCATCTACTCAAGACTTGAAAATTGCTGCCATGCAAATACTGCCATTAGAGAAAAGCCAGACATTCAGGTTTTCATGTGAAATTTCTCAATTTAAAAATTGAGCAAATATTTATTTATTTATTTTTCACATCTTTATTGGAATAGAAATGCTTTACAATGGTGTGTTAGTTTCTGCTGTATAACAAAGTGAATCAGCTATACATATATATATCCCCATATCTCCTCTCCCTTGAGCATCCCTCTCACCCTTCCTATCCCACCCCTCTAGGTGGTCACAAAGCACCGAGCTGATCTCCCTGTGCTATGCAGCAGCTTCTCACTAGCTATCTATTTTACATTTGGTAGTGTATATATGTCCATGCCACTCTCACTTCATCCCAGCTTCCCCTTCCCCCCATCCCCGGTGCCCTCATGTCTGTTCTCTACATGTCTGCGTCTTTATTCCTGACCTGCCACTAGGTTCATCAGTACCGCTTTTTTAAATTCCATATATATGCATCAGCATACGGTATTTGTTTTTCTCTTTCTGTATATTAAAAAAATCTAAAATCCTGTTCTGTGTACCAGTGTGTGTCCACCAAATAAAACACATCTATAGGCTGTCAATGTGGACTTTGGTGTTAGTTCCCCTAGGCCTAGGTATTCAAAGGTGACCAAGACAGGGCCTCTGACCTGAGTGGCTCACCTTTGGTGTTCAGCTCAAACACTAGCACAGGCAGGAGTAAACAAGTCCTCTACTCTGCTCTCATAACACTTTGTTTACATGGCACCTGCCAGAGTATACACTTACAGCTAATTGTTTGCTTACTCCCTGAATCATGAGATCCTAGAGAAGCAGTGCTTTCATCTTCATCCTAGTAATGGTAGCACTGGCACACTGTGCTAGTAGCTGGTACTCAATTATAACTCTATTGGGAGGTGTCTATATATCAACTGTATCAACTTGATTCCAAATGTTTAAGCCACTTTGTATTTTTCCCTCCCTAAATCGATATTATGTTTTGATTAGGCACCATGCTGTTAGATATGATCACACTAATGAATCTGTCTCCTAAAAAGCAAACCTAAATATGTTTTGAGTCATGTTTCAGTTTTATGCTATAATCCTAATATTTTTCTTACAGAGGTTTCTTGTAAGATGGTGGTCCAAACAAGGGCTGTTTACAGATATCCTTGGCAAATTCAATAAATTGTTTTAGTCTAAGACACATCTTTTCACTTTGAAAAATAAGAAAAAATGTGTTCATTTGTTCAATTTGCTCATTTCAGGGTACAACTTTTTTTCCATTTAACAAAAGCACCAAAAATGTCAGCTTTAGCTTTTGTTACAGTTATATAATTCCTGGTTAGGCTATCCAAACATTCTCACAAAGCTAATTTAAGCTAGGCATTGCCAGACTTGGAGTATGTCAATCATTTTTCAGTGAACCAAAACACCAAGCACCAGACCCAAGAGGGAATTGCTTGACCACCATCAATTAGTTGATCTAATTTCTAGACACAGACCCACTCCAAATATGTGCATATGCCCTAGATGGCTGCCATCTGTGAAGTTTATAAACATCAATCCTATTGAAAAAGAAACATGTTTTTGTAGTTACTTAGGTGTTGTCAAAATGAAGGAGGGTAAATATTTTATGTCTTCCCTATTTGTATAACCAGCAGTTAGAGGTCCAGTCATATTTCAGGTGTTAAAAAATTTTAACATAATCTTTGTCATTTTATTCTAAAACTCTATGTGATGTTTTTGTGCATACGAATTCACCTACATGTGGACACTTGATTTCTTTACGTTGAAACTCCCTGCCTCGTGTTTATGTGTGCTGTAACCAAACTGTAAGGCTTACCTGCAGACTGTTGAAAATGACAAAGAGGACCAGCATCCAGAAGTGTCTGTAAGCCATGTGCAGGCCTCCCCAAAGCCATGTCATTGAAATCAGGGCAAAGAGATATAAAACCAGTGGAATTTCTAGACACCATAAAATAAAAAGAAAAGAAAAAGAATTTTTGAACTTCAGAATACTGCATAATCATACATATACACAAAATTATTTTTAGCTACTTTCTGGAGATACTCTCTATGTCTAAGCACTCATTTTGAAATAACAACCTTGGAAATACCAGTCTTACAACAGAGAAGAGAAGGCAACGGTAACTTTGCTGAGCCCACCTTCCTTCTGTTTTGCTGGTAGGCAGGGGACTGAAGAAGGATGAGAACTGTTCCTCTCCTAGACTACCACCTGCTGGACTGTTCAGGAAGTGCCACCAACAACTGGGGAGATGCAATCACATTTCAATCCCAGGGAAGACCGGGTATATAGCTCTCCTTACAAGAGCTCTCTACCAGAAAATGGTAGACAGCAGTGTGCTCTCAAAATTACTGTGGTCCAGTCTGACATTTTAAAACTTAAGTGATATAACTTGTTTGTATGTAATGGAAAAATACATATTTATCTCTTTTTCTGACTAAGTGGACACCAAACGTCACAGCTATGGTTAAGAGCAAAGATGAAGGATTCACTACTGACAACACTAAGCTTAGTCTACCCATCATTTTATTGTGCAATTTGTTTTAATAGTTTCCAGAACAGATTTCTTCAGGGCCAAAGGACTTCATTACCCTTTCTAGATATTTGGGATTTAGAATAACAATCTTAAAGAAGGGTTATTAATATTTAAATGGCCAGCTATAGAATATTTGGAAACTGAATCAGATCTTAGCAGCTGCACATAAACACATTTTCAAGCTACTGAAAGACATCAGGAAGGACCACACATCACTGACAACTCTCATGACAGACCTCGAAGTCCATACATACTCAACATCATCAATTAATGCCTAAAATCTACATACATTGTGGAAATCTGAAGTTATTTACAATTTTAACAAATTAAAGTTTATTTTATTTTGAAACAATCTCAAACTTATAGAAGGGTTGCAAGTACAGTATGACAAGAAAGTTTTGTTTTTCCCTGAACCATTTGAAAGTTGCCAACCTGATCCCCCATCACCCTCTGAACACTGTAATGTATATTTTCTACAAAGACATTCTCCTACATTAACACAATACAATCATCAAATGAGAAAATTAACACTGATATGTTACGACTATCCTCAGATCCGACTCAAGATCAGTCAATTATTCCAGTAATTTCCTTTGTAGCAGAAGAATCCAGTTGACATTTCTGTAGTCTCCTTTAATCTGAAATGGCTCCTTTAACAGTATGGAGGTTCCTTAAAAAACTAAAAATAGAACTACCATACGACCCAGCAATCCCATTACTGAGCATATACCCTGAGAAAACCACAATTCAAAAAGCGTCATGTACCACAATGTTCACTGCAGCTCTATTTACAATAGCCAGGACTTGGAAGCAACCTAAGTGTCCATCGACAGATGAATGGATAAAGAAGATGTGGCACATATATACAATGTAATATTACTCAGCCATAAAAAGAAACGAAATTGAGTTATTTGTAGTGAGGTGGATGGACCTAGAGTCTGTCATACAGAGTGAAGTAAGTCAGAAAGAGAAAAACAAATACCGTTTGCTAACACATATATATGGAATGTAAAAAAAAAAAAAAAAAAAAGGTCATGAAGAACCTAGGGGCAACTAGGGGCAAGACAGGAATAAAGATGCAGACCTACTAGAGAATGTCCTCAAGGACACGGGGAGGGGGAAGGGTAGGCTGGGACAAAGGGAGAGAGTGGTAGTGTATATATGGACATATATACACTACCAAATGTAAAATAGATAGGTAGTGGGAAGCAGTCACATAGCACAGGGAGATCAGCTCGGAGCTTTGTGACCGAAAGGTGGGATAGGGAGGGTGGGAGGGAGGGAGACACAAGAGGGAAGAGATATGGGGATATATGTACATGTATAACTGATTCACTTTGTTATAAAGCAGAAACTAACATACCATTGTAAAGCAATTATACTCCAATAAAAATGTTTAAAAAATAAATAAATAAAAATAAAATGGCTCCTTTGAGTGTCGTTGGCTTTTGTGACTCTGGCATTTTTGAAGATTACCAGCCTGTTTGTCTTGTAGAGTGCCCTTAAATTTGAGTTTGATATTTTCCTATGATTTAGATTATAAGCTTTGCCAGAAATCACAGAAGCGATCCTGGGTTCTTTTCATAACATTCTATTGGATGGCACAAGATTTCTATTTGTCCCAATATCTAGGAGGCTCATTTTGGTCATTTGATTAAGGTAGTGGCTGCATGAATTCTCCACCGTAAAGTTAGTCTTTTTCCCTTTGTAATTAGTATGTATCTTGCATGGCATTACTTTAAACTAGGTAAATATCCTTTCACTTATCAAATATCTGATTTATGCATTTACTTATTTTTATAATATGGACTCATATATTCTCAACGTAATGGGTTATCATCTATTACTACCATTTATTTTGATGCTCAAATTGTCCTAAGTCTGATTAGTGGGAACCCCTTCAAGATGGTTTCTGTGACTTCTGTTATGTCCTCATCATTCTGTTTTGGCCCAACAAGATGTTTCAAGCTCATCTTGTACTTTCCCTGCCCCAGTCCTGGCTTCCTTTAGGGTAGAATGGTGTTCAGAAACCAAGATCTGGGGCTGGGTATGGTCATTGCTATTGGGGAGCTGCTGCTCCTACATCCTCTCAGTAGACAGAGGTGGGGAATACCTGTCTGCATACATCTGCACACACACTCATTTCCATCTAGATTTCTATATCTATCTCTGTACAATTAAAATCATTAGTGTATACCAATATTTCCAATTCCAATCCAATGCCACAAGGTTAATTGGAATTGTCTCTTTTTCTGTATTTGTAACTTCCTTCTCTGTTGGCAAGAAATGTATTTCTCATTATTCTTAAAATATTTACCTATTTGATCAACTTTATTTGATTGTAACCAGTCTCCCATTGCTGTTGTCCCTGCCTTGCACAGATGGCCTCCCAAATCCACTCAGGTTCTTAGGAGCCTCGTGAGTACACTCCACCCTTCACACGGATGCCCCCTCACAATGATTGGCTTGTGACACTCCATGCTTGACACCTTCCACTGGATGCATACCTGGCTCTGTCAAACTAATGGCTTTAAGATGGAATTGTTCTGGAAGGGAAAAGAAAGGAAAGAAAGAAAGGAAGAGGGAAACTGAGCATTTTTTTTTTTTTGAGAAGAAAAAAGGCTTTCGAAGGACACCATACTGATATCTTGTCAGATATCCCCTTTTTAGAAAAATGTCAATTGTCTAAGTTATTACAACTGCACAGAGAAAATAAGAATAATATAAGACACAGTTTATGCAGATGAATAGTTCCTGTGTCATCGATGCCTTACCACAGGACAGGACCGAATATATTAAGATTTATTTAATTTTTTAAAAAAACATCATTTTTGTTTAATGAAATCATACAATTTGATAAAGGGCCAGAAGGCTCTTTTTCACTTCTGACAAGATACTTATATTTTAGGAAATTGCCTAAGCTATGCTCATGAAAGTTTTCAGAGATTAGGTATTAGTCTGGCAATTGCATTCTTTGCTCTCACTGTGCAAGGACAAAATTCTATTTATGGCTCTTTGTACAGTATAAAAGGACATGCATATTTTGCATGAACAGCTAGGAACCAAATTTTCAAAATTTGGCTTGCATGTTCCTGTGAGTGCCTAGAGCCAGACAAGTGCTGTGTGCTGACAAAGCTCCATGCGGAAGCCAAAAGAGCATACCAGGGCTGACTAGGAACACCCAGGGCTCATGTTTTTTTGTAACTCTGCAGAAAAGTGTGGTAGTTTGGCAACCCAGATCAGAAACTGGGAAAGAAAGCCAGTCATAAATAACTCAGTATACTGCACAATAGACCCCAGGCTGGTTTTCCAGCAGTGCAACAATAACTAAGACATGATTTCAGATGCAAGAAACATATCCAGAGGTACATCTGGATTTTGTGGGCCTGAACTTTTATAAAATTTGGAAAGGCTTCTTTAAAAAATAAAAATTTCAAAAGCATAATTAGGTAGAAGAACTTAGAAGAGGTCCATGCAAGTAACAGGCCCTAAAACGTATGCCTCATCAGCTTTATGGTTAACCTAAAGGGGGTAACTTTCACCTCTGGGGCCTAGAGTAACAATGACCAAAGGGAGAAGGGGTGTGAGAGTGGGTGATGGTGATGAAAGTGGGGAAGAGCATGTTGTTGTTTAAAAGCTACTATGAATTCCACTTGGCAAATTGAAAATTAATGTTCTTTTAATGAAAATCATTTAGTTACATATTTCCTAAGCTGATACTTCACGTTTGGTGAAATACTAGTAACTTTTCTGTTGGTTATATAAGTCACTGCTTACTGAAGCAGGCATTGGTAATAGGTAATGTTAGAAATATATGTTTAGGAGTGAATTAGTTAATAGAAAACAGAATCGTTTCGATGTTCCCGATAAAAGGGAACCCTAAAAACACAGTATTGGACCCATGGAATAAGGGTATCTATATAAAGACTGTGCTATCCAGAATATACAAGGAACCCCTCGAAGTCAACAAAAAACAAACAACCCAATTCAAAAATGGGCAATGGACTTGAACAGACATTTCTCTCCCAAGAAGATATACAAATGGCCATTGAGCACAGGCAAAGATGACCAACATCACTAATCACTAGGGAAATGCAAATCAAACCCACAATGAGATACTATTTGTACCCACTAGGATAGCTATTGTCGAAAACCCAGCAAGTTACAAATGTTGGCAAAGATGTGGAGAAATTGGAACCCTTGTGCCTTGTTGGTAAGAATGTAAAATGGTGCGGCTCCTGTGGAAAACGGTTTGGTGGTACCTCAAAAAGTTAAACATAGAATTACCACATAATCTAGAAATTTCACTTCTAGGTATATGCTCAAAATAATTAAAACCAGGGACTCAGAGACTTGTACATCAATGTTCGTGGCAGCATCATTCACAGTATCCCAAAGGTGGAA